TTATGAATCAGAATTAATTATTTCACAACACATGTATTTCTCATTCGCACTTTTATATTTACATTGTCATTCATACATTTTCTATACTTCTACTTCTAATTTTCTCCTTTTCTCCTCAAAATATCTTCCTCATTCTTTTTCAGTTTTACCTGTCAGTGTCTCGCAGGCGGCACGAGATCCTGATGAGGAGGATCTAACTAATCTCGTTACTTTTCCTTTCTCCTTAATATTTCCTTAATATTCCGGTGGTGGCCTGCGTGCCCACTGAGGAGGACCTGCCTGCTTCCATTCCTGTTCCCTTCTCCTCAGGATTTCCTCCTCCTCCTCCACCAGTTCTGCCTGCGTCAAGGGTTTCGCTGGAGGCTTGCGTGCCCGCTGAGGAGGACCTGCCTGCCTCCATTCCTGTTCCCTTCTCCTCAGGATTTCCTCCTCGTCCTCGACCAGTTCTGCCTGACGAGGATTTACCTGCCTTGATTCCTTCTCCCTTGACCTTAATACATGCTCCTCCGAGTGACCCTGTGCTGCATGCGTCGGGTCACTCCATTGCCTTTTACTTTTCAGTAATAATGCCTTTTCTTCCGCCTGTAACGTTCTCTGTTGAATAAAAAAAAAAAAGTTGACTAAACATTGACAAAGGTTATGAAATGTATGGCTTATAAAGTGAAACATTTTAATCTCTTCCTATCAAAAACGAAGCTAATTGTTCTAAAACTGCATGTTGGCTGTATGAGTATTAAATTAAAAAAAGGTGTATTCATATCCGCTACTGATGGGCATTGAATCAAAGATAATTAAATATCATACGACACTCTTGACCCAATAAAGGTCCGACTCTCCATGCTTACAGCAAAGTCCTTTAATTTTTTGTTCTCTTTCCTCACGGCTGCAATTTCCTCCTGCAATCGATAAGGTAGACTATAGTTTGCTGTATATATATATATAGATAGATAGATAGATCGATCGATAGATATACATATACATATACGTATATATATATATATATATATATATATATATATATATATATATATATATATATACATACATATATATATTATATATATAGATAGATAGATAGATAGATACAAATATACACAGTAGACTTATACATATATATATACATATATATATATATATATATATATATATATATATATATATATATATAATATATATATATATATATATATATATATATATATATATATATATATATATATATGTATGTATATAAATTTACCTGTACAAAAATATATATACATATATGTATACATATACCTACATATACATATATATATGTATATATGTGTGTGTGTGTGTATACATACATATACATGTTCATATACATCTCTCTCTCTCTCTCTCTCTCTCTCTCTCTCTCTCTATATATATATATATATATATATATATATATATATATATATATATATATATACGAGGAAACCTGGTAGCAGCACGATCACTATTAGTCCTGCATCACCATCTCCAGAGGGTAACCATAATCGTCTCCAGCAGACTTCAGGTCTTGGTAGTAGAGGTTACTCTGGCCGTACTGATGTCTGTAAACTCGATGCGTAAGAGGTGTGTTCTATGTCAAACTCACATTTGTGACAGACAGCTGCCCTCAGTGAGATATTTGCACTGGTCTGGGTGACTTTAATGCAGTATCCGGCTGTGATTTAGCTGGCTTGGGCAGTATGGTTCATTATCAAGGCCTGGATACGAATGGTGTCGAGATCTCTGGACCAGAGCCACCCATCAGCAAGGATCCACCCTTCTTAACTGAAGCTTGGTGAGGGATGGGAAAGTAGTGGGTCTTTGCGGCATCCCTGCTGACGTTTTAAAGGCTGGTGGTAACCCTATGGCACAGATTTTACATGCTGTCCTGGCTGCTTTCAGGCAGACTGGTACCATTTCCCCATGACTTCTTATGGGGTACAGCCATCCCTCTCTGGAAGGGGAAGTGGTATCGATGTGATTACAGCAATCATCGAACCATTGGATTGTTCAGAATACTAGGCAAGGTTCTCTTTCACATCCTACTGAGATGTATCAGAGATCACCTATTGGGGCATCAGAGGCCGGAGCAATCTGAATTCACTGCTGTGAAGTCCACAATAGATCACATCCTAGCTATTTGAGTCATTATAGAATGCTGTCATAAGTTTGGTTTTGGGCTGATTGCAGCCTACATCGACCTCAAGTGTTTGATATGGTGTAATGTTCATCACTATAGAAGATCCTGAGGCTGACCGGAATCCGAACAAGTATTATTAGATTAATACTGCATACCAGAACTTAAAGTGCCGTAAAGTGTGGCCTGTTGAGCTTCTCTCTTGCGGCTAGGATATTGTAGTCGCAGTTTTACATACTTCGGTAGTGTAGTTCATGATATCATGACTGGCCTATCAGACCAGGAAGTCAGTCGATAGATTGGCCTTGCACCAGGGGTCATTAACTCGCTGCCAGTACTTGTGCAGAAGGACAAAGTCACGCATCT